TAAATTTTAAATTTTTATTAAAAAATTATTATTAAATTATTAATAAAATTACAATTAAAATTAACAACTTTTACAAAATATTAAGTAATAATAACTGCGACCATAAAAAAATTGACATAGTGGAGATTTCTCGTCACAAATATCATCCTCTATTAGTCAGTGATATAAAGTAAATACGTTAATGACTCTTTTGGCCGTGAGGATCGGTCAAAGTCCTGATTAACCAATGTAAAAGAAGATTCGTTCCAACTCAATTGATTTCGCACCTGGACCCGTTGTTATGACTATTGTTGGATCATAAGGTATACCTCCACTGACGATTCCTTGATTCAAATAAAAAATATTAAAATTTTTAAATAAAGTTTTGATTTCAAATTTTATGGATGAAGAAATAAATATTGAAAGAGTTTTTTTTTATAGATTTAGTGTAGTTTTATTTTAGATTAATTAAAAATTAATATGATTATTGAATACCAAAAAAACTAATAAAAAAATATACCTCTAAATTGAAGTTACAATTCTTCTTTTTAAAAAATTATAACTTAGGTTATGATTAGAACAACTGGTGAAAAGTTTTTTTAGATTTTAAAATTTTAATTGTACCAAATATTATAATTTGTGAAAAATATTATAATTTTACACAAATTAGTTTTTAGTTTATTTCATTGTAAATCTATATGAACTTCTTATTTGAATTTTAATAAAATTAATATATTATTTTTATTTTATCATTATTTTTTTATTTATAAAAATAACACTTTTATAATAATTTCTTTCAACAAAATTTTTATTAAAGGTTCCCCACTCAAAAAGGGCACTTATTAAAAAAAACAAAAAAATGATTTGACCGTGCTTGTTACGCCTATTGGATTGAAATTGAAGATATTCTCGATCTCTTTATTATTATTTTTTTCTCATTCTTGTATTTTGAGTGTGCATTAACGGCACTAGAAACGTGAGAATGGTTATTGGACCACGACCCTTTGACCCTAGAAGATATCGAAGAAGCCAAGAAAATTAAATTGACGAAAATTTCACAGGAGAAAAGTATCTTCCAGAACGTTGATGAAATTTAATGGTCTTAATTTTTTAAAAAATTTTTAAAATAAAAATTTAATAATTTATATAAACAATAATTAAAATT